GGGGTCGTGCTGCAGGCTCAGGGCCTGTGGGGACTGCCCAAGGGGCTAGGAGCGGCAGGCCCAGGAGGGAGCCCAGGACAGGACTCACTGGGTAGAGGGGTGATCTCAGTGTGTGTGGGCGGGCACTACAGAAGACCTCGTGGTTGACAGTGAGATGGGGGCTTCTGGCAGCTGAGGGCAGAGAGCTTGGCTGAGGGAGTGGTCAGCAGGGGAGGAGTCGAACAGGTCCTGGAGTTGGGGACATGGAGACAGGGCCCATGGCGCTGACCCGGCTGGGCCAGTGGGAGCACTCAGCCCATCCTGCCTGATCCTCAGCCCATCCTGCCTGATCCTCAGCCCCTACTCTGGGCATCAGAGGCCCTCCCCTCCAGCCAGCTGGCTGCTGGGTAGCAAGCTCCTCCTCCCTGCCCAGCCCCTCCCAGCAGGCGCCAGGCCCCCAGGGTGCAGGTGCAGGGTCCAGCCTGGGACAGGGTGCCTTCCATGGCCCTTCTCACGAATACCCCAGATTCAAGGCTCAACAGACCCTCCGCCTAGCACTAGGCCATTCCTTCCTCCAGGTGAGCCCTCCAGGTCCCGGAACCTCCGCGGGGCGTCGCTCCCCGCGGGGCACCCCGCCCCAAACCCAAGCCACCTGTCGTTCCCACAGCGCCCTGGGCCAGGATTTCCCAAAGCCAACCCCCAGCATGGCGACACCCCCACACCTGGGTCTGAGGTCCTCTCTCCCCTCAGTTCCGGGCGTGATTCGCACCCCGCCGCCCTATTCCTAGGGGCGAGGAGGGGCGCGCTCTCTAAAGAGGGCAGGTCCGAGGGAGGGCGAGAGGGGGGAGCACGGCACCAGAGAGACCTCTCCCCTCTGCCCGTCGCCTCTCCTGGACCGGGCGCCACCCCCCCGGCGGCTCACGGGCTCCTGGGGACCAGAAGTCCACCCCAGCCGGAAGCTGCGCTGCGGCCGGACCCGGCGAGCGGGTGGGAAAAGGCGCCCGCGCCCCCGCACCCCGGGGGTCGAGCCGCCGCTGCCCCGCTGCTGCGCGGCCTGCCCCGAGGGGCCCCGGAGTCCCTGACCACTACGTGCGAGGGTCGGCGCGCCCTGTGGCGACCGGC